CCAATTTTCCCCAAAGTTTCAGCCAGATTGGAACACTCTCCGAGTTTTCGCGGAGTTTTTTTTTCCTTTTTTGCCGACTCCCTGAATAACCTCATAAGAAAGAGAGGAGACAGGCGATTTTAATGATTTTTTTCTTAAGTTACAGTACGCAAGTATCAATTCCATCTTCTATATTTAGTCAAATAGCTTCGCAATTACCAAGAATATTATTTAACCAAAAATTTTTCTGAAAAACTTATAAACCTTCCGAAACAGAAATTTATACATTTAGAATTTTCGTTTGTGATCTAATCAAAAAATTTAGCTCTCAATATCAAAATTGAGAGTTCTGTAATTCTGATGCAACTTTCGATTGTTCTTACTTTAGTACAGTTATATGGAAAAAAAAAATGATGGACCCGAATTTTTTTAAACATTGATCATGATTTTCTTGAGTCTGTTTTTTTAAGTTTAGGAAAAGTGGAATGTATCAAAAACTATATGTGAAAAATTACAAGAGATTTGAAACTGCTAATACTTTTACCGTATAATTTTTTCCCTCTTTTGTCAAAAAAAAATTTCAGGCTACCGTTTTTTAAACCCTGTTCTAATCTCATTGGCCAAAAACTTTTTTGAAAAACTTATGAAAAACCTGAAACAGAAAAGTGTTTTTTTTTTCAAAAATCTAGTTCTCGAGCTGCTCGGAAAAATTTATAGTTGCAACACCACATTAGAAGTAGAGTGAACTTCTTAAAAATGTTAAGATTCAAAATAACTTTTTGAAACAGAAAATTTTCAGAATACTGTCCAGGAAACAGAACATTCTCAAAGTTTTACTGTTTCCGAATTCCATAAATTACATTCGTAATTTTTAACGACAATGTGGCAAACATAGATTGTTATTATTCGTGAAAACTTGTAATAGAAGGGCGTCTTAACTGTTTAATTTTGAGCCAAGTCTTAGCGGTTCCTGATATGAAATCATTGTATCGATCTCGTTGTCATTGTCATTATAATTGTCGGCCTGTATAAGGCTCAATAAAAGACAAACAGATGGGGTTCTCCAACTAAAAAAACCTCCGAAATCTCAACTTCAGCTTAAGAAATTTTTTTAGATCAAATGATCACTTCCGTCATCAGTCTTCCTTCTAAAAACATATCATTCAACCACTACATTGACCAAACATTTTTATTCGAAAAAATTTTTAAAACGCTTGAAACAGAACATTGTTTTTTGCTAATAATAATCGACAAAATGCATATCTTCTTTCGGAATTTTAACTTTCCGAGTTATTTCAGGCGTTCGTTTAGTTTAATTGTCTGGAAACAAACAAATATGATGGATTCAAATCCTTTTTTTAAAATCATCTCTAGATTTTTTGAGACATCATTGAAAGGATTCGAACTGTTCGTAAAAATAAATTAGGAAATTCACATGAGTTTTGAAATTATATATTTTTTTCCGCCGTTTGTATAATTTTTCTCCGCCTTCCGCCAAAAACTGTTTTCAGGCTTCCGTTTCGTTTTGAAAAAATAATCTCGTGCATACCTGTAACGTGCCGGGCCGGGCCGGGCTTTTTCCCGAATTTCGGAGGCACGGCCCGGCCCGACGGGCCTGTCATTCCACAAGTTTCGAAAATTTCAAAAAACACATAAGGGAACACCCTTATGTGATTTTTTTCGAGTTTTTTATGTTTTTGATCAAACAGACAAACAATCCAAAAAGCACAAAAAAAAATAGAAAATTGTATTGAGAGCTCAAAATTCGGTTCAAAATGACAAAATTTTTGCTACCGGGCCTTCCGGGCCGGGCCCGGGGCTTGAAATTTTCCTCAGGCCCGGGCTTTGGTGGGCCGGAATTTTACAAGTATATCTCGTGTGAATCAACCGAGCACTTTGTCGAATAACTTACAAACCGCCTGAAACAGAAAATTGTATCTTGAAAAATCGTTTTCGAGATAACTGGATTATCTTAGATCTCCTTACAATCAAATGTCAAGTAACCTTTTCAAAATTTGTTTGTACTCAAACGAACTATTTGAAACAGAAAAAAAAGGAAACAGAGTCCAGAAAACCAAAATTTTTCAAATGTTCAGTTTCATGTTTTTACTGTTTTCAAGAATTGATATTCTTTGGGTACCGTAAAACCTGTAATAGAAGAGAGCTACTCTAACTTTCAATCTAGACTCAATATACAGGGTGGCTTTTAATTACTGCAACGGTATTCAAGCCTTCATAACTTTCCCAAAACTCGATGAAAACTTCCAAAATTTTGGATCAAGTAATTTCAGACGCACAAAATTTATAATAATGCAATTGATTCCACTTCATTCCGACGACAGCCGTCAGAGGCTTCGGAAAAGAGCCTATGGCGGCACGGTGGTAGTTTTGACCTATTAGTACCCATATCTTCTGAAGGCTGATCTCCAGATAGATGAAAGCTTGTTAATTTCATGAGTAAACTATCTAGGTCCAACATCCTCAGATTGAATAATTTATTGGATTCAGGTCTCAGGAGAAAGGGATCCTGTCTTGTGCCTAGTTCAACTCCGGAAAATTGAGTTTGAGCCTCCCTTGGGTGTGTTTGGTACAGTAAAACGTGGCACAATCTCGTTGGAACACCGTATATGAACTTTTCAAGTAGAATTCAAGTTAAGAAACATCCTGATTACTTAGATTGGTTTCATAGTTGAATTTGGTTCGGAAATCGGGGAAAACAACGGATTTTTCGCAATTTTCCGTGTTTCCATCGAAGATCCTGACCGAATCGGAATGCGAAGCTTTATATGGGAGTTTTCTTCACTGACAAACATATGTAGTCGCCTTAAATAGTATAACGTGATTTCGGTTGATCTTGTTGCCTTCGATTAAAAAATTATCATCCGGAAGTAATGCCCTCGTGTCACCGTGCCGCTGTAGGCTCCTTTCCTAAGCCTCGGACGGCTGTCGTCGGAATGAAAAGAAGTGGAATCAATGACTTTTGCATTATTATACAATTTGTGCGTCTGAAATAATTTAATCCAAAATTTTGGAAGTTTTCATCGAGTTTTGGGAAAGTTATGAAGACTTGAATACCGTTGCAGTAATTAAAAACCACCCTGTATTTAGGTTCCCGTCAAAGATAATAAAAAGTTGCCAACTAATAAGTTGCTCATTTTAATAACGCAAACAGTTTATCAGTTGACACATTTATGATGTCTTGATTAGGAGCAATGAGAAATCAGCTCAAACACGGAAGTTCGGGGATCCTTCTATCACAGGTTTTACGGTATCTGATTTCCGATTGTTTGAAAAATTTAATCGCTTTATAGGCTTTACCACAAACAGAAAAAAAACAAACAAAATAATTACTGTTTCAAAAGTATTTTAAATTATTAGTTTTTTTTTTCTGTAAACAATTTTTTCTGTATTGTGCCTGGTATATCTGTAGTATATAAAAGCAACACAATTTTAAAACTTTGTCGAAGCATTCAAAATCTCAAAAAAAAAGAAATTTTCAGATATATACATTTTTCCAAACATCTCTATTTCTTCTCCATATTTCAACCTTTTGATCATCATCTCATCTAATTTTTGTTCACCGAAATGTAAAGTGAAAGTGACCAAAAAGAAGAGAGGTCGTCTTCTTCTTTTTTTCTGTATCTTCAAAACCTCCGGCATGCCATAATCATTATCATTTTCTTCTTCTTCTTCATCTCTAACCAAGTCTCTTTTTTATTTTTTCTTATAAATCATGTATTACATAACAAAAAAATCGATGACATAATCAAGTCTCATTCGCATAATCTTTTTCCTTCATTCTATTTTTCGAATTCTCGTTTTTTTTGTTTTACTTCTCCAATCTGTACAGTAAATAGTGTAACTGTAACAAAATGTATATACAAGAAATAGACTGGAACGGGAATAGCAAAAAAACGAAGATACAGAAATTAAAAAGCCAATTAGTTTCAGTATTTTCTCTCAGTCTTTTCCCTCTTTTTTTTTGACGAATTTCAGTTTAAAAAACTGAACCTAGTTTCTTTATAAAACTGTTAAAACTGTTTCAAAAGTGTCTATTTTTAGAACATTTTCCTATTTTTAGACATGTCAGTTGGCCTAGTAATTCAGCCAAAAAAATTACTTCTTCATACTAGAAATATGGCTATTTTCAACCATTTTAATCAGTCCAAAAATATAGTTAGTTCTGTAATACATTTCTTTGATTTCTTATAAGCTTACTTTCCAATTCTTAAGAACGTCGTGATTTTTTTCCGAACAGAATCTTATAATTTTGAAAAATTCA